TTTCTGCCTGGAAAGGGTGGTCAGGCCTTGGAAGGGGCTGCCCAGGGAGGTGGTGGAGTCCCCAGCCCTGGAGGTGTCCAAGGATGTGGCACTCAGTGCTCTGGGCTGGGGGACAAGGTGGGCACCAGGCACAGGTTGAACTCGATGGTCTTGGAGGTCTTTTCCAACCAAACCTCTGGGATTCTAAACTGGTTGCTATTTTGTTCTTTGCAACCACAAAACCAGAGTGTGTTTTCCCTAACCTGGCTGATTTTCCCTCTCAGACTCTGCTGCCAGAGGACCTGACAGGCAGGAACCCTCAGCAGGGCCAGGGAGGCTCAGGGCAACTTCCAGAGGAGCCAGAGACATCCCAAAAGCATCTTCCCAAAGCTTCCTGTGCTCAGAGCTCTGCCTGCTCTGCTCCTGCCATCCAGCCCTGGCAACCACAACCCTCTCTCTCTCTGCTGGGTCTCAGTGTGTTCATGACAAACATGTTTTATCAACCTCCCTGCAGTGGCCCAGAAGACAAATAGCCTGGGGGAAGGCGAGGGAGTCAGACAGCTTCATTTTCCAAGCTTGATAAGAACCAATGACTTCACCCAGGCAGAAATCACACAACACACTGGAAAGGTCTGGCTCAGGTCACCCCCACCTCGCTGCCTGAGGAAACACGGTGTTATCACATCCAGGAGAAGCTGGAACATGGAAAAAAATCCTACCCAGAATTTACTGTGCCCTTGGCCTCGTGCCCTCCAGCCCCAGCACACGCAGAGCTGCCAAATTCCCCCTTTTGACTCGTACAGATCCACATTCAGGGGTGACAGGAGGCTGGAGAAGCAAACTGAAGGGATTTAACAAGGGATTTAACTTCGTGGGAGCTTGTGGCAGACTCCAGGTCCCAACTTTGCAGCGAGCAGGACTCCTGTGTCTGGAATGGTACATCCTGCTGCAGCCAAAAACCCCCTCAGGGGGCGGGGTGGGAGCTGCTTTCACATTTAAAGTTGTGTTTCTGCAGAGAAAACCTGAAAAACATCACCCTGGAGTAACCAGCAGTCCCAAAAGCAGAGGGTGAACATGAGAGCTGCATCCCCAAAGCTGGATGAACACCAGTGCCCAGCCCTGAGCTGGCACTGAGCCTGAGGGCAAGAGGCAGGGGACACTCAGGGGACACAGGGCTGGATGTGCTCCTGTGCTCTGTGCCAAGCACAGAGGGCACAGAGCCAGTGCCCAGCCACGTCTGGGCTCCCAGGCACGGTCTGCTGCCTGCCAGGCTCCTCCAGCCTCCTGCCTGGCAGGGATGGCACTGGGAATGCTTCATGGGAGCTTGGGGGAAGCTCGAGGTTCCAGCTGCTGGCAGGGAAAGGACACTCCTGCCTGCTTTTCTCAAGAGCAGGGGGCCTGCTGCAGGAGAGTCCCTATGGCACAGCTGTCCCACCTCTGTCCAAACCCATCCTGACCCAGGGAAACCCTTCACTGTGCCATCATCCAGGGAAGCGAATTTTCCCTGTAAAGAATGGCTACAGGGTTGACTTTTGCTAAAATACAGCCCCTTCTGCTGCAGTGAACCACCTTGGAGATCCTGGAATTCCCTGCAGAGCAACAGGGTCCTGTCCTGAGGGAGAGGAGACAGAGCTGCTCCCATGAACCTACATCTGCCCTGGGGGAGCTGGACCTGCCCCAGCTGAGCTTTGCCAGCACCTACAAGTGCCCTGAGCAGCCCCTGTAGGATTAAAGCCCAACCCAAAATTAGTAGCAGTGAACTCCATCAGAGGGCAAGTTTCCCCCTGCAGGGGAGCAAAGTGCCCGGTGCCTCGCAGGGATCCAGCTCTGCTTCCTCCTCTTCCAGAGCTGCTGTTCCCAGCTCGGCGGTGTTAAAATTCCTGTGATCAGGGTCAATGCCCCGGAGGTTCTACCTGGCTTCCAGGCACCACCTGCCCTGGGGGATGGGCAGGAAAGGAGCAGGAATGAGAGGGAGGGAGAAGCACCAGAGCCTCTGGTGCCGACAGCAGCACAGCCCCGGGGCAGGAGCGGCAGCCCCGACCTTCCCCTCGTGCTGCCTTCAACGCAGCTCCCGAGAATAAAGCAAGAATTAAAAACGAGCGTTTCCCAGACTAACAAGCTGACATTTCACAGCCAAAAAGCGCTCGGATTTTCACCCTCAGGCCAAACATGTGCACATTTGTGATTCATTCCGCCCCCGCGGCTGCCAATTCTCGGCACAAACTATTGAGCTGTTGCGGTTTCAACCCTCACTCGACTCCCAAGTGCTCCTCCAAGTTCCTTCTGCAGAGCTCCTCGCCTCCCACCTCTCCCCCTCCGCTGGTGTTTTTACACCCAAATTCTCTCTGGGTGCCTGGGAGCCTTCCAGTTCCACAAAAAGCTGCTCTGTGCCATGAGCTGCTCCTTTTCCAGGTGTGGGGGCCACCAGCAGGACCATGAGACCCCCCCCCAGCCAAAAGATCTCTCTTTCTAAAGCCTCATTTCACCATAATGCTGCAACCACAGCTCAGGAGGCTCCAGGTGAATAAACACAAACCAGGAATTTTTTTTTTCACGTGGAGAGAAGTTGCCAAACCCCAAACTCTGCTGGAGGCACCACGTTCCCACTCCTCAGGAGGGGCCGATCCTCTCGGAGCTCCCTCAGCAGATGTTCATCCCCCACGGCTCCCCCATGGCCCAGGGAGGAGCTCTGGCTCCCTGTGACCTGATCCTGGGCTGAGGAGGCTCCACAGGTGGAAATCTTGGATGAGGATGGGCATGGATGCTCCACTGGGGCTGAAGGAGCCACCAGCAACTTCATTTATGGAGGAGGATCCGAGGAGGACACGCTCAGCATGTGGGCTTGGGTCAACCTCTACAACCTTCAACCTTTATGCAGAAGCTGGATGGGAACATCTCCATCCCTGTTTTCTCCACAGGGTTCAAAATCCTCTTCCTGCTGCTGAAAATCCTCCCACCCACTCCTGTATCTTCTCCTTCTAAGGCTGCACTGGAGCATCCAACCCTCCCAAAATCATTTCCCAGCTCAAATCAAGTTTTCCTTTCTTTCCATACCTTTACTAACCCAGAGAATTTCCCAGAGTCTCTTATGCAGAAGAAACCCAGAGGGAAAAATCTCTCTTTTCCCACCAAACCCCAGTTTTTAAGCCTTTATTATTCATCACAAGTAAAGCTGAGAAGGGCCGAGGTCAGACACGCTCACGGTGCCTCTGCACAGAGAACTGTGGGGTTGGGGAGAGCCCCAGAAACAGAGATGACAAGTCTTGGTTTAACAGCAGGGATGGCTCTGCCTTGCAAAAAAAAAAAACCAAAAAACATGTGTTCTTCCTTCCTCCCTCTGCCTTTGAGTGGGGGAAAACACATTTCAGTGCTGCAGCACTTCTCTGAACAGACAGGACTGAGAAAACACTGCTTTTGGGATGGGGGTGAGCTCTCAGGGTTAAAGGGAATTGCTGGGAAGGAATCAGTGCCAAACAGAAAACTTTCCCAATACCTGAATAAAATAGAAAAAAGAAAAAAAAAAAAGGAAAATGAGTCATCAACCCAGAAAGGAAGGGTTTCACCTCTGCCTGTGGATGAGTTCCCTCTTTCTTGTTTTCTTGTATTCAGTGC